AAAGTTTTATGGAGCTATCGGCCCACAGAGAAGGACCAACCATCCACATTCATCGATCAGCTCCACGGAATCCTTTTTGTCGCCGGCTCATCGCAACTCCATGTTTGATGTGTTGTCCTCAGGAGTGCACAGAGATTCGCAAACTGTTTGTACCAAACACGGCTTGCTCGCGCCACCGACTCTTCGTCCACGCTCCGGATCAACTTCTCTCCTACACGATCTAGCCAAGACAAACTTTGAAGGACTGACAGCACCGGTGCCTGGTTTCCTATCTGTCGTCAGACCTCAGCCTTCGTCGAGCAAGCCAACGGAATTTTCTCTGCCTATAGACAGTCAGACCGATCTCCAGAAACCCTCCTCTTCTGCTGTTTCTCCCTGTGGTTCGGAAGTCGTCGAAGAGCACGAATGTGATACCAAAGGCCTAAAACAGTTGGAGGTTCCCTGTGACGACAGCATTTCGCGTAAGCTGTCTTTGACGTATGCCCGACGCACCAGCATCGCCGTACCTCAGTCACACAATTATTCCACGGCCGAACTGGGAGCCGGTATTTCTGAGCTAGTCGGTATGATGGGGCTACAGTTTAGCAAGTCTACCCACAATTCGCCGCGTAAAAGAAGCCTGCAACTCACACCCATCGGCCCAGGATCCATTCCTAGACAGCTACCAGCACCACCAAAATTTAGTCTTAGAGAGGCACCGGGTGGCCTACTGGCCTACCGCCTGTTCATCGACGCAACCGGAAAAAATAATCTAACTGTTCGTGTTCACTTATTTGCTGCCGAACATGTGATCACACAGCGGCCGTGGAAGAATGCCAATTATGCTGTCAGAACGGAGCTGATCGGATTCCGATCACACTTTGTGCAGACGAGCGGTTACGTGACGGCTAGTTGTGGGTCACCCCGATTTTTCCAGGCCAATCCTTCTATCCTAGACTTTGTCCTTGATTGTGAGGGAAAAGCATTTTCTGAGTCCAACGAGGAGATGAAGCTGCTTTTGTCGGTTTTGGAATTTATCGGCAGGAGACCTTCTGAAAAGTCGTCGGTCGTAGCAAAACGAGAGCATACATTCAGGCACGAGACGTTAAAAGGCAAGTCGACGTTTTCAACAGAGCCGCGCTGGGAACACTGCATCCCACAACAGGAGGTTTGTATGCCTTTCAACGTTTTATGTTTAAAAATGCTTACTTGCATCCCTCAAGTAAATACTCCCGGATATATTTTGTGTTTACAAGTCTGTGAAGTTTTAATATGCTTGTGACTTTATTCCTTCGTAATGTATGTTGCTACCGTGTATAGTCCAATTAACAATTTGACTGCAATTGATTTATGCTCATTCACGTAGGTGAAAGAGTGTCCGTTATTCATTATTTCCAGAAAGTGTTACCAGCAACCCAATATAATACTACTTCTACATTTAAAGGGATAGTCCATGTCTTCGTGTAAATATATTTTAATGTATTTGCCGCAGTTGCGAAACCCTTGGTGTTCCTTCCATGAATCAAGTAAATTGGTAAATTATGCCAAAAGCCTATAATAATAGGTTACTTTCAATTAAGTAAAGCTATTGTAGCCGTAATAGGAACAATAGACTATACGCTAAAATGATTTCCAAATAACTGATGACAATAAATTCCTGATAAATATTCGTGTGGAGTTCGGAAGATATGAGTAGTCGTTTGCTGAAACAATTCCCCCTTAAAGTTACAAAAAGGGTTTGACAGATTTGACTAATTCAATTGACCCAACCGTGGGTAATGCATGGCCTCGGTGGGATTCGAATCCACATAAGCAGGGAAGGCTTTCATAGAGTCTACGCCCTATCAATTGAGCTGTGATGGCAGGCTGAAAGCCGTGGACATTATCACACTTGGGTCGATCGACCGACTTGGGTAATTCGAACCAAATGTGATTAAATTCAGTGCTCTCGGCGCCATATCGTAGTTCGATGGATAGAGCGTTGGGCTATCCTAAAGCCTTCTATGCGGATGTGGTTTTGAATGTCACCGAGGCCACGAAATTTTCACATCTGGGTCACTTGTATCCTCCTAGAAGGTTCAAAATGGAGACGTTCGAACTAAAAAAATTAAACCTCAGTTTTCATGCCTAACGACAAGTAGGAAAATTGACAGAAGAAAATATGCACCATTTTCGCTAGTTAGAATCACAGGCGACTTTTACTGCATATAGCTGCAGAAGTATCTGCTTTGTAGTTATATTTTACGTACTAAAACATACGTGTTTTCAGAATTGTATTCAAAAATACAAAGGTTTTGTCTAAAGCTCAAACGTACGCTGCTTAGCTTGTGCAGTGAATACTGTCATCCACTTATTGAAAGAAGTATCGTAAGAATTCAGATACAAATTACTAAAATAAAAAGGTTAACTGATATAGTGTTTCTCCTTCGACATTGTGTCAAACGATAATACACTTCATTAAGGATCTCATTGAAAACGTGCATGGTTCCATTGACAGTAGTAGGTTGTGGCTAGCGCCACAAGGAAACAGCCAGCACTTCTATCGCAAACTTTTCATCATAGGAAGCGGCAACCCAACTATGATCTCATGAAAACGTTCTCTACTACTAAGGATTTATTTGGAACATGATTTTTGACTGAATAATGATATGATGCTTCACAAAATCTGCAAACCGATGGTTAAAAAGCAGTTTCAGATTTTATAGGCCAACTCTTTACTTATAGACCTGCCGGGGGAAAGTAATATTTTCTTTGGATAGTTCTTTTTACAGAACATATAAATGTAGCCTTACTAGGCCGTGTATTCTAAGGACGCTTTTGAACTTTGAAACACTCTTGATAGCTTCTGTGAAGTAGTCTTGAATTACTAAGTTCGTGCTCAATTGAAAATGTAATCCTTTAAACGTAGTAATTTAGTTTACAAGTGCCGAAGAAGGATTTTCTAAAGACTATTGATTTAATAAGTAATAGCGAGGAAAAGGCTTTATTATGAAGACCGTATACAGCAAAAATAGCTTCATTCACTGAGAATAAGAGACAAGTTAACAAACTGCTCAAAAATCCAGTTGTTTACCGGAAATTCTCATCTATCATGGAGACAGATCTAATCATAGCCACTGGATTTCCGTTTCCTTACATATGTCTGCGGAGTAGGTAAAAGGTACTGCCAAAGGTACGCATGAAACAAACTATAATTTTAACTGTGGTATCATATATACCGGATATCCCTGACCATTTAGGTGCACTCAATTCTCCCCAGACTTGGAAAAGCCTACTATTTAATCAGGTAAAAGTTAATGGTTTTGAATGTTTTTTTTTGTATGTTGTGGTTTTCACACAATACGGATAAGTAAACGCTCATACTGTTTCACCGACTTACGCCTGGGCATAAAAATAAAACTTTCTAGAACTGGAGGCTATACCGGGGTTAAAACATGACAGGCTTTGCGGTCAGACGTAGGCAACAAAAAGAACAGAAGAACCTCAGCTATACGTTATAGAGTTCTTCTAGGAGCGGACGGGAGACAGTTTAAAGCGTGATCGTATGGTGTCAAAAACACACGCTAGAGCCGAAAGGAAAAGAATTTGAAGAAAGGAACTTCAAAGACAGACAATGCGTTCTAGTTGCTCGCCGGTACCTAAACTCTGAAACGCCATAACTTAGCTTTTTGTCTGTGCACGCGACCGGTTGGGAATTCCCGGAGAGGCAAATTAACCTGACCGAAAATGAGGTGCCTGTCTTCCTATCAGGCCGAAATAATTTGTTGCAAAACAGATCGGGGACTTTCAGTCTTCGTGAGTTTATCGGCACTTTGACGTTTGCTGTGCCTACCGCGTGTAATTTGGAGCAAAGGATTTCCAGTTGACTTAGCTGAGTTGCTAAGAGGGCAGAAATATTTATCATTCTTTTTGTACACGCCTGGGTCTGGAAAGGTTATGTGAAAAATTGAAAAAATGTCATCTCCCAACTGACATCTAGCATTTTGGTTTTAAACGTGTTAAATAGCTGAAACTTCTAGCTCAGGGAAAATGTAGAGTAGAAGCGATTCCGTCATACGTAACTGTGTCTGTTTTAGAAAGTTAGAAATAAGTAAAACTGTTCAATATTTGATCTTGGTGTCAATAAATATAAAGTTACGTTCCTGTCAAAATAAGTTTAATTCCTTCAAAAAAAAACGAACTACCAAAGGACACACCGGCGCGAAAGCTTACTAAACAGATTTTACTGTTTCCAATATTAATTTTAAGGTCACAGCACAGCGGAAAGTTACCTATTTTGCTTACGTTTTGTCAGTTAATGTTTCCTTAAAATGGTTTATCTAAAAGTACTTTTTGAAATAAGTACCGAAAGTATTATCCAAGTTTGCACCGATTAAGTTAAAAAAGATGAATCCAAAGTAAATATGTCAATCCCACTCTATTTACGACAACTGATAACTGCTGAATGTAGTGTATAAATACTGATCTAGAACTCGCAAAAAACAATACTGATTGCTAAATTCCCCACAAATATTATTCGAAGTACATAAAAACAAAATTATCCAGCAGGAATCACTTTTTCTGAAATCGTACCAAAAGTATGTGACACGGCAATAAGTGGAATGGCGCAATTCTAGTTATCATGCTTTTAAGCCCGATCAAGTGCATGGCTCTAAATTGTTCATAAAATATCTCCAGCATTACATCTTGACTAGAGTGTGTGTGCATTAGTTTAGGTCGGAGACAGTTAAAGCTTTAATGAGGTGAAAAATGGCTTGCCTGAAATCTCCGAAAGCGGTATGTTGCGGTGGAGTTTTCTGATAACTTTACGGAGAACTAATGGATCTGCAAACAGTTAAGCATTTTTAACGGAGATATTAATAGCTACTGGCGTTTGTTTTAATGTAGCGCTTACATTGCAAAAGGCACGCAAGTAGAAACCATCAATCATTCCTTCTTTAAAACGAAGGATTTCGGAAAGAAAAACACGAAATTTGCAAAAAAGCAAAACTTCTATTTTTCACTATTTGTTTTCTTCAGCGGGTATTGGCTAAAGATACAATCAGACGCAGTAGAATATTATACAGAATTTGTATGTGCTAGTACTATGTCAACAGACAGTGCAAACGGAGTCTGCTTTATGGACTTCAGAATAAAAACGAAAATGATCGAAATATATGCGGAATGAATAGAATGGTGTTTATTGTTCTTACAATATTCCATCTGTCATTGCCTCATGAAATATTGTTCATGCAAACCTAAACTAACACTCTCGGTAAAAATATATCATAGGGTGATGAAGCTTACATGAATCAGGTAACAGTACTTTGGACAAATCTTGGTTAATTCTATTGATATAGATATAAAACATAAAGAACGCAGCCTCTTTGTTCATAATATTTAAAACCTCATGACAGAATGTTACAGTGGACGACCCTAGATACATTTACTTTAAAACAAGTCATTTCTGAGATAAATATTAGCGCCATTTGCGTATCTAATTGTTTCTATGAATCTACTTTTCTGTTAAAAAAAAAACTCAAAATATTATGCAAAATGTGCGGTTTATTCGATAAAACGCGGAGGCATAATCCGTTGAAACTGCACGGTGAATCATATAGATTAGATTCTGCAGCGTTTATGACTGCATATAAAATGTTTGCTTTTTTAACAGAACGATATTCACTTTTGATCTCAGATTACACACATCTTGGTAACGCTTCTTTTTTGTAGGTTATTCAGATGACAGCCGACGTTTTAACTTCTCTGTCATTTAAAGACGCAGATGGAACTCTTCGAGTTGAGTTGCAAGAAATTCGAAATTTGGCTTACAGTCTAGTCTATCCGGAACAGAGCAAACAAACAATCCTCGCGGATCTTATTCCAGGTAATTTTTCAAAGCAAAACTGTATAATACGTCACATTGTAAAAAAGTTCCTTATAAAGCAATACATCAGG